TTGTACTAAAATACAATATATTTATTAAAGCAGCAACACCACTACTGAATCTACAGCTGGTGAACAGCACGGCACGGAATGAATCTTATGAGTCGATTCTTTTTACTCGATCAAAAACTGTTGTCCGATTCCTGAATGAACGACTCTGAGTTGGTTCTTTTGAGAGAATCAAATGCTCATTATGTGGTTTGTTAGTAATACTTAAAAAAAAAAAATTGGCTTACTTAAAAGGCTTTATTGTAGTGCAGTTATGCTGCCTCTCACGAAACTGACAAAGTCATTAAATATATATGTAGTACTTTTTAACATTTTCTTACTTAAAATAAACATTAACTGAAATAAAATATTAAAAAATCTTTTTTAATCTAGTTTCCAAGGCAACATTTCTCATTTTCATTTAGTTTAACTTGATGTACTAAAATAACTAATATTAGAAATTAACTAAAAATTCATAAAAAATATATAAACATATGTAAACAAAATAAAAACGACTAAAAAGTAAAAAAAAAAAAAACTAAAATTACTAAAAGTTTAACTAAAATTAAAATGAAAAATATAAAAATAAAATACAAGGTATATATATATATATATATTTAAGAATGTTTAGTTATGTTTGTGTACTTTTGTTGTTCTGTGTTTTGTTTGTTGTTGGTGATATTGGACTGATGGCATTAGTGTAGTGTGTAGCATGTAGTGTCTGGCGTGTAGCGTGTAGTGTCTTGCGTGTAGCGTGTAGTGTCTGGTTTGTAGCGTGTAGTGTCTGGTTTGTAGCGTGTAGCGTGTAGTGTGTAGCGTGTGGTGTGTAGCGTGTAGCGTGTGGTGTGTAGTGTCTGGCGTGTAGCGTGTAGTGTCTGGCGTGTAGCGTGTAATGTCTGGCGTGTAGCGTGTAGCGTGTGGCGTGTAGTGTGTAGCGTGTGGTGTGTAGTGTGTGGTGTGTAGTGTGTAGCGTGTAGAGTGTAGCGTGTAGTGTCTGGCGTGTAGCGTGTAGTGTCTGGTTTGTAGCGTGTAGCGTGTGGTGTGTAGCGTGTAGTGTGTAGTGTGTAGCGTGTAGTGTGTAGTGTCTGGTTTGTAGTGTGGGGTGTGTAGTGTGTAGAGTGTAGCGTGTAGTGTCTGGCGTGTAGCGTGTAGTGTCTGGCGTGTAGCGTGTAATGTCTGGCGTGTAGCGTGTAGCGTGTGGCGTGTAGTGTGTAGCGTGTGGTGTGTAGTGTGTGGTGTGTAGTGTGTAGCGTGTAGAGGGTAGCGTG